AGCTTTTAGTCCTCCAGACGAATGGGCCGGAATGGGGCCTAGCTACTTTTTACAGCCAGAGCCCCTTATTGAGAGGATTTCAGAAAGCATTTAGGACTTCAGGCAGAATTTAGGGTTTGCGTTTTTTTTTTTTTTTTTTTTGGGGGGGGGGGGGGGGGGGGGGGGTTGGGGTCAAGACGGGGTCAGGAACATGTAGACTCACGTAGCACAGGCTCCAGGTCCACCTTCTTTGGCACTGCGTGCCTTGCAGGGATCAGTTGCTCCGAGCCCTGAGCCTGAGTCTCTAGGCACATTGTCTTTGTTTTTGGGCTAGGGCCTTTTGGGGCCTTTGAACTTCAACCTAAACCCTGGCCCTAACCCTAGTCCTACATACTGCTACAACAGTCAATTCCAAGCTTCCTTTCAGTCTCACTCATGATCCTACACCCACATGTCTAAAGCCCAAGAGGGGTGTGCCTCCGAAAGTTCCACACCCTGCTACCTCAGCCTTCATGGCCCTAGAGTTTAGGGTTTAGGGTTTAGCCCCCCCTAAACCCTGAACCCTAAACCCGAAACCCTAAACCCTAAACCCTAAACCCCAAGCCCTAAAACAGTGAGAGCAGAGGGGCGGCTTTGTGCTTGAGTTTATCACCAAAGCCACGCCGGCGTGAAAAACCTGAGGCCGAACGCACTACAAGGAGGAGTACCGCCCAAGCCTGGGGTTTAAGGCCAGGCGTGATGTTTGCCTTAGGAGGTTGGGGGGGTTTAGGGTTTAGGGTTTAGGGTTTAGGGTTTAGGGCTTAGGGTTTAGGGATTAGGGTTTTGGGGGGCGAGCCGCCAGGGACAGAGGGCACCCAAAGGCTTGGGCCCCGAAGTTGTTCTTGTCGACCAATGCACCTTGAAGCCCTTGAAGCCCTAAACCCTAAACTCTAAACCTCAAACCCTAAACCCCAAACCCTAAGCCCTAAACCCCAAACCCCAAACCCTAAACCCTAAACCCTAAATCCTAAACCCATAGTTAGAGCGCAGACCTTGATCGACCCTAATGCGACTCAGTGGCTCGCACGTTCCTTTTTTTTGGGGGGGGGGGGATCGACGATCGACTACATGGGCAATGTATTACTAATGGTATTCCCGATGCCCCCTTTGCAACTATACTACAATAACCCCCCCAAGACCCTGGCCCTGAGATTGCATGGGTAGATGAATCCTTCAAGGATGGGCTGACCCCCTTAAAAAAATAGCTTCCATTGATCCAAAGGAGGAACTTTGAAAAAAATGTCGTCAAGCCTGAAGCTAGGAGTTCCTCTACTGATACCACTTGCAACATCTACATATATATATATATACACACATATATTTCAGAATTATACCCTATGTGTGTATATATATGTGTGTACATATATACGTGTGTGTGTGTGTGAGTGTTATACATATATGTATGTGTTTTTTTACGTTTCCCCTGCTCAGCCCCACAACCCTATGCACAAAACCCATTAGCTACCATCCGCAACTCAAACTTAGAACCCTAACCCCTTAACTTTGAACGCTAAACCTTAAACCCACCCCAACTAAATCCCTAAGGCCAAAATCCCCCCAAAAATCAGAACCTTAAACCCCAATTAAAACCGAAGAGGTAAAATCCCCCCCTCCCCCTGCTTGAACCCGAATTAAAACCCTAAACCCTAAACCCTAAACCCTAAACCCTAAACCCTAAACCCTAAACCCTAAACCCTAAACCCTACTAGTAAGGCCAAAATCCCCCCCCCCCCCCCCCCCCCCCAAAATCAGGTGATTCTGTGCCTTTTCCTGGCGGCCGTCGTCATCGGGGCATTCTGGCTGGCAGTGCCCTGACTCGAAGCCAGGGCTACACGGCTTTGTAGTCCTATATATATATATATATATACATGTATATATATATATATATGTATATATGTATGTATTTGTATATATATATATGTATATATACATATATATGTATATATATATATGTATATATATATGTATATATATATATATGTATATATATATATATATGTATATGTTTTTCTTTTTCAGGGCTTAAGATGTAGGATTGAACCCTCCAAGCCCTACGGAGTTCGACTTAGGGCTTCTAGAACTGATATCTGGATTTTGGAGTTCGGGTGTGGGATTTTGGGTTCGGGATGCGTCATTACGGCACATTCCGAATCGTTGCAAGTCATCAATCCATGGGAATCAGTAGCTTCATGCTTTCCTTTGCCACAAACATTGCCAGGACAATAGCAATCCCAATAAGCCGCACATCCCGAAACCTCTAAGCCCCTAAACCGCCTCAAGCTCTAAACGCTTTTAAAGCCTATACCCGAATTTTGCATAGCCCTAAATTGCTAGAACTCCTCAAGCCCTAATTCTTTTGAAGCCTATACCCCAATTTTGAAAAGCCCTCAATCCCTAGAACTTTCCTGGATTGCAACTCTGGGTCTGTAGACCTAAGCATCGAGAGTTCTAAGCCATGCAAATCATTATGGACGCCCGGAACCCTAAACTGACTAAACCAGCTTAGCCCTAGAAAACCCTAAACCCCACACCCTAAATCCTAAACCCTAAATCCTAAATCCTAAACCTTAAACCCTAAACCCTAAACCCTTAATCCGTAGAAAAAAGGCGGCAAGCAAAGCAACGCAAGGTCTGGTACTTCGCCGGGGCGATCCTGAAGAAGTGGCTTATGGCCTACGACACCGCCTTCCTAGGTGTGGAGGCGCTCTTTGAGGGGGGTTTAGGGTTTAGGGTTTTTAGGGTTTTTAGGGTTTAGGGCTCGGGGTATTCGGGTTGTTCGGGTATTAGAGCTCAGGGTTTAACAATCCCCAGACTCCACACCCTGAGATCGGGTTTGGGGTTTGGGGGGGGCGCTGGAAAATGGTCAGGGTTTAGGGTAGTTTTTCGATGAGGTCTTTTTCGAAACCCTGTGAGAAACTGCAGCAGGCCCTCAAACTCCGAACTTCCTAAACCCTAAACCCGAAACCCTAAACCCTAACCCTGAACCCTAAACCCTAAACCTTAAACCCTAAACCTTAAACCGAAGACTAAGAGGCCGTCCTTTTAATGTGGAGGGAGATGGGGCAGGGCTCTGTGGGGTGGGAGAAAAGTCGATTTAGGGTTTAGGGTGTAGGCTTTAGGGTTTGGGGTTTAGGGTTTAGGGTTTAAGTGTTAGATGGCCCTCCACAGTCGGGTCATACATGCTTTCGCTTCTCTGCATCTCAGCCTTCACATTTGGTTTGGGGGTTTGGGGTTTAGGGGTTTCGGCTTCAGGGTTTTAGGGTTTAGGGTTTAGGGCTTATGATTTTCCAAGTGTTGTGGGTTTTGCCCAGGGGTCTTCAGGCTTCAAGGGGCTTGTTTAGGGTGGCAGGCTGTATTAGGGTTTCAGGCTTTGGGGGGGGGGGGAGGGGAACTAACACCCTAATCCCGGACGTGCTTCCCCTCAACCCTAACCCTTAAGTCCCTAACGGTCAAAACCCTGAAGCCTGCACCTGAAACACCCACAAGACCCAGCCCGAAAGCCCTCAGGATCTGGAACGGTTGCACCCTAAGCACTAAAGGAAAACACGAGCACTGAAATCCTTCAGGAGCACCGCTGGTTTTTCAAAGGGGCTCGTTCGTTCACGTACTCTAGCCCCATTCAGCAAAACCAGGCTTCCTACGATTTAGGGTTCACCCTAACCCCTAACCCCTAACCCCTAACCCCTAACCCCTAACCCCTAACCCCTAACCCCTAAACCCTAAACCCTAAACCCTAAACCCCGAAACCCCGAAACCCCGAAAGCCCGAAACCCCTAAACCCCTAGACCCCTAAACCTCTAAACCTCTAAACCCCTAAACCCCTAAACCCCTAAACCCTAAACCCCAAAGCCTTTATTTCTTATAATTAGGCTCCTGGGGGTCCTAGCAGGCCCTAAACCCGAAACCCTAAGCCCTAATCCCTAAACCCTAAACCCTAAACCCTATGCCCTAAACCCTAAACCCCTAAAACCCTAAACCCTAAACCCTAAAGCTTTTATTTTCTTATAATTAGGCCCCTGGGGTCCTAGCAGGTTTACGTCGACCGGATCGATCTGAACCCCTTCGGCGGCACGGTGAGGGTCCAGAACCTGACAGTAGGCGGGACTTCGGGGGCTCCGGTTTAGGATTTCAGGCCTAGCGGGTTTAGGGTTAGGGTTTAGGGTTTAGGGTTTAGGGTTTAGGGTTTAGGGTTTAGGGTTTAGGGTTTAGGGTTTAGGGTTTAGGGTTTAGGGTTTAGGGTTTAGGGTTTAGGGAGTCTCAAACGCGCTTGTTAGAGAGTCGCCACTTGTTTTGTGAGGCTGGGCGTCGCGTTTTGAAGGCGTCTGGGGGTGTGGGGGTTGCTGAGCAAGAAAGCCCACCACCCAGGCATAGGGTTAGGCGGTTTCTTGAAGGTTCATGGGTAGTGATCGCTTCAGCTGTTAAGTAAGGCAACCCACCTGAAGAACCTAAGGGATCTCCATGTGGACCTTCAAGCAGGTCTTAGATGGTTTTGAGCTTTGGCTCCGATGGGGATTGAGCCATCTGAGACGGTTTTCAGATGATCCGATGGTGCTCGTTGTGCACCTTCCACTTGAGGGCCTAATGTAGGGGCCTTAATGGTTGGAATAAGGTGTTGGGGGTTCTTATCGTATGCTTATAAAGAGATGATAAGGAAATACCATTCGTATTTATTCCGACCTCTAAATTACATGGATCTAAGCCCAACCTAGAGCCGAGAAAGCCACAGCAATCTTGCTCATCGCTCGCAAGTAGCTCGTGAGCTCCATCTTGGTCGTGCGTTTCGGGACTTCTGTTTGTTTTAGGTGCATGGAAGACTTGAGCTTGGCACTGTGAAGAACAAGCACTGGGTTTAGCATCTAGGGCTCTCATGCAACATCCGAGCGCTGCCCTGAACGTACTAGTTGTATATACAACTTGTCGGTCCAAGCTTCAGAGTCAGATCATTCCCTCTCTGCCCCTCCCCAGAGGCCTCTTCGGGGATCATGCAGGCATGCTGCTTTGACTTATTTTTCGAAGAGTACGAACTCACAGTGTCGCATGATGAAGCTTCCGATGAATCTCCTGGTCAGCCCGGTCAGCTCTATGTAGCTGTCTGGAACGCCGCAGCTGGGGCTGAAGCAAAGTTCAGGAAGTCAGTCCGGCCGAAGGATGCTGCTCACGACTTGTCCTCCCAAGAGTATGACATAATCATCTGCCCAGAGAGCGGCAGAGAAAACCGAGCAGCATTTCGTGGCGAGGGCTATCGAACAATCGATGGCGACAAGGGCATCAAGATCTTTTATTGGCCCGTTCTCAAGCCATGTCCGAACTCCTTAACAAAGGCCGAAATTCCAGGAGTCGCGCGACCCGGGACGTTGGTAAGCCAGCTGTTCAAGAATGTGGAGACAGACGAGACGGTGCTCGTCACTGGGCTCCATGCGGGCCATTATGGCAACTCCGAGCATCTTGTTCAAGGCAATGCTCCAGAAAATCTGAAGAAAGCTCAGCAACTCGATGGCAGCTCGGGAAACTCTTTCATTCCCCCCTCATCGTCCAAGACAGGCACCCATAGTATATTGCCCTAAACCCTAAACCCTAAACCCTAAACCCTAAACCCTAAACCCTGAACCCTAAACCCTAAACCCTGAACCCTGAACCCTGAACCCTGAACCCAGGCAAGCCATGAAGTTGATTCGGGACACGCAGCGGGACATGTTGAAGCGTAGCCCGGTCCGCGTGAACAAGGTGGGGGGGGGGCCTTCTTGTAGTTTGTGACATGTAGGGTTTAGGGTTTAGGGTTTAGGGTTTAGGGTTTAGGGTTTAGGGCTTAGGGCTTAGGGCTTAGGGCATAGGGTTTAGGATGTAGGGGTGTAGCCCATGCTCCCACTCCTCAAACCCAGTTCGCTGCCAGGTCATCGTTGGTGGCGACTTCAACGAGCTCGGCGACCTCATCAAGGAGGACCGAGACAGTTGGATGCCACTTCCACTGGATCATCATGGTAAACCTTTGCTCCGCCACTGCCGGGGAAGCATCCATGCGAAGCGTACCCTGAAATGCGGCGTGACCGCTGATCACATCTGGGTTGGAGGTGACGGCGTAAACCCCGAGGTGGAGGATCACAAAGGCAGAGCTTACGGGAGTGATCACAACTGCGTGTGTATGACGCGCATCTAATTCGTGCTTTGAGCAGGAAGCTGACCAGACCGCTGCGCTCAGCCTTTGCGCAGCACAGCGCTCTTTCACCAAAGCTGGGGCAGCTCCATTGAGCAGTAGGATGTGACTGTGTGCCACTTCGTGCACGTTGCACGTCTCTCCTTGCTCTACAGTTTCGCTTTTGCCTGGCAGCCCGCACGTGAAGTGCAAAGGCGTGTGCTATTCCACGATCACCACCACCATCATCAGCAGAGTCGTCATAGCAGCACCATTGCATTTCTGATAATGGTTTAAGATTGTCGGGTTTAGTTTATTATTGTGACTATTATTATTAATTATTACTGACTATTATTATTTATCATGAATTATTATGATTATTAGTACGATTATTATTATTCCCCACCTTCGGTGTGGGGTTGTTAGATTTTAAACTCAACTCTTCTCCTCGCCCTGAACTTTTCTTCTACTCCCAGAGACTCCCTGGAGTGCCCAACCACAGAGACTCCCTGGAGTGCCCAAATTCAGAGACTCCCTGGAGTGCCCAACAAAGACTCCTGGAGTGCCCAAATTCAGAGACTCCCTGGAGTGCCCGACCTAAGAGACTCCCTGGAGTGCCCCACCCCAAAAAAACTCCCTGAAGTGCCCAACCCCAGAGACTCCCTGGAGTGCCCAAATCTAAATCCCTAAACCACACCCACGCATACGCAGGCAGAACACACAGCCACAGGGAGTGTAGAGCTTGGGACTTTTTTCGGCAAGAATCATGCCTACCATGGCGTGAAGTGCGTGGCGGGGTTTGGGCTTAGGGGCGTAGTATTTACTGTAGGCCGTAGAGCTTAGGGTTTAGGATTTCAGTTTTTTGGACATTGAAGATTTGAGTTCTGCGTTTGTCTATCTTGACGAAGCCACGAAAGGCTAGGACCCGGAGTAGGCCCTTATTGCCTTTTTTCAGGGTTGGGTTTCCCTTCTAATCCCCTTAAAACCAAAAAGGGTGCCCTTTTTGTTCCTAGGTTACTCCTGGGTCTAGCAGGGCTTCCAGCTTCACTGCCCCCCTAAACCCTAAACCCTAAACCCTAAACCCTAAACCCTAAACCCTAAACCCTAAACCCTAAACCCTAAACCCTAAACGCTAAACGCTAAACGCTAAACGCTAAACGCTAAACGCTAAACGCTAAACGCTAAACCCTAAACCCTAAACCCTAAACCCTAAACCCTAAACCCTACACCCTAAACCCTAAACCCTAAACCCTAAGCCCCTTTCCATGCGCGAGGCAACCCCGAAGGCTACACCGCCGATCACCTGGCCAAGGACCCATTGCTTAGGGTTTAGGGTTCAGGGTTCAGGGTTTAGGGTTTAGGGTTTAGGGTTTGGGGTTTGGGGTTTAGGGTTTAGGGTTTCGGGGTCTAGGAAGCCCAGTATTGCTCTTATTCCCTTTGTTTTTTGTGTTGGGTTTAGGGTTTTGGGTTTTGGGTTTTGGGTTTTGGGTTTAGGGTTTAGGGTTTAGGGTTTAGGGTTTAGGGTTTAGGGTTTAGGGTTTAGGGTTTAGGGTTTAGGGTTTAGGGTTTAGGGTTTAGGTTTAGGGTTTAGGGCTTAGGGCTTAGGGTTTAGGGTTTAGGGTTTAGGGTTCAGGGTTTAGGGTTTAGGGTTTAGGGTTTAGGGTTTAGGGGAGGGGTTAGGGGTTAGGGGTTAGGGGTTAGGGGTTAGGGGGAGGGTAGGGTAGGGTAGGGTAGGTTTGGGAGGAGTCCAGGGGTGCTTAACGGTGTGAGAAGCCTGAGGCATGACGTCTGTAGGTACCCCCCAAGAGCTACACCCTAAACCCTAAACCCTAAACCCTAAACCCTAAACCCTAAACCCTAAACCCTAAACCCTAAACCCTAGAGCCTAGACCCTAGACCCTAAACCCTACACCCTTAAGAGCCCTATGTCCGACGCCCTTCAGAGTCCTAAACCCTAAGCCCTTCAGAGTCCTAAAACCCTAAGCCCTTCAGAGTCCTAAAACCCTGCAGAGCCCTGAGCCCTAGGCCTTTAAGAGCCCTCAATGCCTACACCCTTAAGAATCCTAAAGCCCTAAGCCCTTCAGAGTCCTAAACCCTTCAGAGCGCTGAGCCCTAAGCCTTTAAGAGCCTCAAACCCTAAGCCCTTAAGAGTCCTAAAACCCTAAGCCCTACAGAGGCTTTACTCCCTAAGCCTTCTAAAACCCCTCGATACCCAGGAGTAAGCTTGGAATAAAAAGTGGAGACCCTTTTCGTTCAAAGGGGCCTAAAAGGAAACCTAGACCCTAGAAAAGGGAACCAGGGCCTACTCTAAGGACCTCAAGCCCCAAAGAGGTGCACGAGCTTTACGTGGACGTTGACATCGGAGATACCGTGAAATCCTTGGGCCACAGGTGCGGGCGAGCGTTTTAGGGTTTAGGCTTTAGGCTTTAGGGTTTAGGGTTTAGGGGGCTCCCCAGTCCGCCCCCCCGCCAAAGGAGTACCCTGACAAGAATTCCCTACCACCTTTACATTTCTTATTGGGGGCTACCTCCTGGATCCTACATAGTTGTCTACGGACTCAGGGTTTAGGGTTTTGGGTTTAGGGTTTATGTTTGCAGGCCTTGAGGATTGCAGTGCTTCAGGGTTACGTGTTTCCAGCAACCCTACACCCTAACCGTACCAACAGGCCTTCACTCAACCTGTTGGACCTCTAAAGCTGTACCCTTTCATAAGCCCCATCATGCACGAATCCACGTCGTCGTGGCCTTTGGAGGTTGCAGCTCAGAGATAGCAGCCCGTGCATAGGGCGCGACCACTCAGCAGAAGCTGCCGACCAAGTTGCGGATGCAGACGCGCTTCTAGCAAGACCTACTGGTTCTTAGCAGGGAATGAGGAAAGTAGGTGCCCTACATAATCCTTGAAAGGGTGAAAAAGGTACCGAATTCCCTCTTTCCGGACTAAGAACCAGTAGGAAGACGTTCGGAGACCAACCGAGTATTCAGAAGCATCAACATACTGTCAAGGCGGAGCGGGTTGCAGAAGGCTTGGGTTTCAGCAGAACTGAGGCCTACAAATGTAGGTGAGTGTAGACGCGCGTGGGAAGGCTTGGGCCACTACTTGGGACACTTCAAAGAGTCAGCTGGGTCACTTGGGTCACTTGGGACGCTTGGGGGCAGCCCAAAACCCTTCAAAGCGTAGTAATTAGTTTGAGGCTCATGATGCTTTGAAGGGGATTCATTTGCAGCACCAGAAGGGTCAGCGTACATACTCAGACTGGCCCCAAACTCTACCAAGATACAGCAGCATACGCTGTGCAGTCGATCATCTGTTTTGGTTCTTCTACTCTCAATGTTCATGCCTGGCCTAGTGCCAAGCTCTCTAGCTCAAATCTTCGCAAAATCCTCCGATCTCCTGTGCTGAATTAATGCCAGGTTACGCAGTAAGAACCGCAGGAATATGATATATTATGCCGCAGCAGATGGCTTCCTTGTTGCCGGCTATCATGTATCCTTCATGCTTTCCCTTCGCAGAGCAGCTCAGTGCTTTTTATCCTGCACACAGCACAGGCATGTTGCCGTAAGTGGAACCACTGTCCCTGCCTTGACACGAACCGACTTATGACACCCACGCATGTGGCGGTACCTTACTGGGGTCTTTACTAGAAGGCTATCCTACAATTTTTGGGGTCTATTTTTGGGGGTCCCCGATTTTCGTAAACCCCCATGTGTATCCTGCCCCTACACACACTGGTACCGCACACTTACCCGCGTGCACGTCCGTCGTCCTTTTTTGGCACCACAACCGAATGCCCGTGTCACTCGTCGCCTGTCGTTACCCAAGTATTCAGGTAGAGGTTATGTTGATGGTTTACGGATTCCGCAGAGGAGTACGCGCCCTCGTGTCTTTGTGGGGTTGAACCCTTTTTCACCTCTCAAACCCGACATGCGCGTTTCTGTGCAGGCTCACACTAGACCAGACGCACGTGAACGGCGTCAATGTTGCGACTGGGCACCTCATTGGGGGCGACGGGCTAGCAAGTTTAGATTTTCTGTTCCGGCTGCCTGAAAGGCCTAAGACAATGAATCGACGTCGGCTCGATGTCATTCAGAAATTATTGCCAGTCTGCACGCACCCCTTTCCCCTTGCCCCGCAGAAACAGAAGCACGCAATACAAGTACTTGCAAGAGTACTCATCATTGTATTTCCCCAAGCAGTACACTGTTTAGGGTTTCCGACTAGTCGAGATATCTACGGGTCTTCCGGTGGTTTGTGTGTCCCCAGGTCTCCCCTTGTCTTACTCATGTTGGAAAGCCTCCGACGTTGTCACACTTGAGCTTCAGGTCTACACTTTTGGGTGTCTTCCATGGTGGATATTTTGCCAGAAAGCCTGCGAGGAAATATATGCCCAACATGCACTATGACCCGGAGTAGGCCGCAGTAGGCCCTTATTCCCTTTTTTTAGGGTTTAGGCTCCCTTATTAAAGCCCAAAAGGGCACCCTTCTTATTCCTAGGTTACTCTTGGCCCAACATGTAAGATACATGGTAAGTCAGAGCCGTGATCCGAAACTGCGCCATGAAGCCTCCCTCAAAACCTTGCTCGCCCAGTGGTTCCCCTTTTTCCCCTGTTTTTGGTTTAAGGTCCCCTTGTAAGTAACCAGCCCTCTCAAAAAAGATACCCTGATTATATTACGGTTCTGGGCTACCAAGAAACACACGTCTTCGCAAATCCAGTGTGTCCGCGAGAGCGTGTTTAGGAGTTTGAAGATGTTTATGGTTGCTTTAGCCAAGGTCCTCGAGCAGGCCTTAACCACCTCGAATGTGGAGGCTCGGTGTTTCCCGCTTGGTGAGGGTGGCTTAAGGTCTACGGTCTTTTGACCAAACAAAAGCATGGGTAGCGGACCCCCGGCATGTGCCATGATATTACCATTCCGAAATTATCGATGCCCCCCCTAAACCCTAAACCCTAAACCCCCTAAACCCCCTGAACCCCCTGAACCCCCTAAACCCCCTAAACCCCCTAAACCCCCCAAACCCCCTAAACCCCTTAAACCCCTTAAACCCCTTAAACCCCCTAAACCTAAACCCTAGCCCCTAAAACCTAAACTACTAGGTAGACCCTTGGGTAGGGTTTAGGGTTTGGGGTTTAGGGTTTAGGGTTCAGGCTTTATGAGTCTGTTTATAGGGCAGTGTATGTAATTAGGGGATATGTTATACGTTCCCTAACAGGAACATTCTTCAGAGGGCTTAAGGGGCCATCCTAGGCTAGGTTCCCTATGTTCGGCTCCCATTGTGTGTATAATACGGGCCCCCTTACCGGGGTCATAAGGGGTCCATTTTTAAGGGCCCATATCAATGGCCCATGTAACTCTAAACCCTAAACCCTAAACCTTGAGCCTTAAACCCGAAACCCGAAACCTTAAACCCTAAACCCTAAACTCTAAACCCTAAGCACTTATAAGCCCTAGACCCTAAACCCTACACCCTCAGACTGTGGGAACCGGAGGATGTTCTGAAGCACCTTGGCGTCCTGCAGCAGTCCGGCTCCTCGCGATGGAGCCCTGCGTCTGGCCCATGCCCCAGCAAGTCAGGGTACGATTTGGGGGGCCTTCAGCTTAGGGTTGAGGGTTAGGGTTTAGGGTTGAGGGTTGAGGGTTTAGGGTCTAGGGTTTAGGGTTTAGGGTTGAGGGTTGAGGGTTTAGGGTTGAGGGTTTAGGGTTTAGGGTTTAGGACGATTCAGGTCTAGTGATCTAGTGAGGACACTTCTGGGAGCTTCAGTATAAACTCCACATGGTGGTTTCCGAAAATAGGGGTACCTTTTTTGGGGTTCCCTTGAAAGGAGCTTTTAGTGTTTTTGGGGTTGATCAGGGGTACCCCTACTTTCGGAAATCCCACATCCTGACAAAGCCCTTGAGGTTCTACCCCTAAAGGTTCCCCTTAAGATACTCCAACATAGCCCTAAGATTCCCTTGGAGATCCTTGAAAAAGGGACCCCCCCCAAAACCCAAGGGTACAACCTTAAGGGTCCAAGCTAGAACCCCTTAGACCTTGGCTGCAGAAGTGCTGCATAGTCTCCGCGACTCACAAGCTGCTGTGAGGACCCACATACCCTTTTAAGGGCCCCAAAAAAGGCACCCCCTAATTTCGTAACCCCCCCCCCTATATGTATGTATATATATATATATAACCCAACTAAGCCGCAACTCCGCTTTCGAGTTTGGGGGGTGTTTGGGTTTAAGCTTTGGGTGTGTAGCGTCTTGGGCCATGGGCTTATGCCCGCAACGGTGCCTGCGCCCATGACGTCCTCGTGTTGAGACAGAAGAGTCCACATAAGGGGGTTTACGAAAATAGGGGACCCTTCATATAGACCCCCACATAGCAGGATCCCCTTATAAACTCCAACAAAAATTGATTTTTGTTTCGTGCTATTTGTAGTTGCAAATGAAAAGACCCACCCCAGCAGGGTACCCCTAGTTTCGGAAACGCCCATATGCACCTAAGTACGACCTTCTGGCATGGAGTGAGTTTCATGGGTTCCCCTACTACCCCCCTCTATACTACCCCCCCCCCCCCCTTTAGGTCACCCCATAGTTAAGTGATCTAATAACTGAAGCCCAGTTAAGGACGTTTAAGGGGGGGGGACCCGGGGGGGGGGGGGGTAGTATAGAGTTGCAACCCAAAACACTTACCCTAAACCCTAAACCTTAAACCCTAAACCCTAAACCCTAAACCCTAAACC